ACCTGCCACAACTCTGGCCTGTTTCCCAGCTCTGTAAGCATAGATAAATACATGTTTAAAAAAAAAAGTTGTGGTGTATAAACACAATGGAATAATACTGAGCAACTGAAAGAGATAATCGCATGATATTTGTGGCCACATGTATGAAGCTGGGAGGAACTGTGATCAGCAAAATAAGTCAGAAGGAAAAAGGTAAATAACAGGTGGTTTCACTTATATGTGGAATATAGAGAAACCAAGTAAAGGGTCAGACAAAAGGCAGAACTTGCCAGATGACCACAGATTTGTAGCATGCAGCAGGGGAGGGGAGATAGAGGTGTCAAAAGAGGGGTGCAGGGAGTACAAGGAGCTGTGTTGATGGTTCACAGGGACTATGGAGGTGGGAGAACTATGGGGCCACACCTGACATGAGAAATCAACACTGTACAAAAATAACAACAATGTAATAGAAGAAATTAATTTTAAAAATTAAAATGAAATACAACTGTAATAATTTAAAAAAACTGAAATAAATAATTTGCCACCTGCCTTGGCAATGACAGAGTTATTATCTCAACTACTGTAGATGTAAACCCTGTGATCCTCACCCGCTATATTGGGGCTGGTTAACATCAGGAAAAAACTCAAGTGCAAAGTCAGGTTTATAGACCCTAGTTTCTGAAGAACTTGCAAACGTTCCTACTCTCAAATTACAATCACCTTTTCCCACATCAGAATAACAAGCACACACACGTATGTATGTATGCATGTAGGCAGGTGTATATTTTTTGAACCTCCCTCAAAAGTTCTTCCTAACAACCAAGCACAACGGGGTGTCAATATTCCTATTGCCAAATTTACCAATGATGGGTTAACAGTTGTTTGTTTTTAATCAACGATGTTGAAAGCTTCATCAGCTTGAATAAGATACAGAGGTGAGTGAACAATTCAAGCAATCTTTTACAAGCAATCTTTTACAAGACTGAAGCTTCTTTTCTAGCTCCCAGTGGCCCGGCATTTGCTGTCATTACTAACAATGCTAGTTCAGGAAAGGAAAGGGGAGGAGGCAGGAGCCCCCTGAGCAGAGTCCAGCTGTGTGAGCTCAGTAGCAGTGAGCCCCAGTGCTAGTCACACTGTGGACATTCTAGATGACCCCAAAGAACTCACAGGCACCATGAGCCTCTTCTCCACAGCCTGACACTAATTCTGACCACCTCACAAAATTGCTACACAGGCAATAAATACACATGACTACAAGTATAAAACTCCTGTGAATGCTGATGAACACAATAAAACGTTAACATGCAAATATATCCTAAACTAAAAGTGCCAACATAATAAGAAGTAGATGTTTAAACCATCAGCTTTATCAAAACCAAAAAAGGAGAATCATTGTATGTATAGCTAATACCCCAGCAACTACTGCAAGGTGGTGCTAAGGCCATTTTTTTTTTTTTTTTTAATCTAATCTTTGTCCTTAGGATGTGAAGACCTAGATTTGCCCCAATGCACAATGAAAGAGAAATTGCCTTTTCATTCTGAGACGGATTAACATTTTAGGACAGACTAAGTCAATTCATCAGTTATCATTTTCTCACCACCTAATGTGAGCAAACTTCACTGTTGCTTCTCCAAGCAAATTGGATTCAATAAACACCCATATCACTCACTTTCTCAGAACTTCTTTGTAAGAGCCTTGAAATATGGAGTCCTTGGTGTTGGGCTTGTTGAATGAAATGGTTGGATGAGTAAATAATATTTTTTAATGAGACGTTTATATAGTTGGATCAAATCTGAGATCAAAGGCAAAGTATATAGAAGGAAAGACAGGCCAGTCTGTGGGTGAAGTGAAATTAATTGTCCTGCTTTATAATCTTCCTCTAAAATCAGTTTTCCAGATGATCTATCTCATTATTAACTGCTCTTCATAGTGATAAGAGCATGGAAAGAACCAGACACACTTTTGGAATTCCTAAAAATATATCACAGAACAGATATATAGAACAGAAGAGAGAGAACCCACTGGTGTTGGTGCAGTTGTTTTTTGTTTTTTGTTTTTTTTTTAAGTTCATGGTTATCAGATTTATCTCAGGGATTTCAATTTCTTTTGTTTCTGTCTTCAAAGAAAAAAATAAGCACTGTCAAAAAAATAAGCATTGTCAGTGTCAAAACCCAGAGGGAACATGAACATTCTCCTGTCAACTACAGATACAGCACTTGGACAACTTGTCCAGCTCTGACGGTCAACGCAGGGGCCAGGAAAATTAAGTCTCATTTAAAACATGTTAAGTTCAGGCCCTCCCTAGTGGCACAGTAGGTTATAGCACGGCACTAAGAAGCTAAAGCCACTTCAGCATGAGTTCGATCCCCGCCTGCCCCAGAGGTGACCCACATGGCGCAGCAGACCTCTCCTGACCCGCCCGCTGCTCCCCTCAGCAGTGTACTTCATCAGTCTGCCTGTGCTGCTCCCCACTCTGTCTCTGGTGAATCATCTCACTGTACCTGCAACTCTGGCCTGCACCCCAGCTCTGTATGCATAAATAAATAAATCTTTTTTAAAAAAATGTATTAAGTTCAAGGAAAGAAGATGAATTATAAATACTTTCATAAAGGTTATAAAGACTACACTTAACCCTTCAACAACATAGCTGGGACCTACATAAGGCCTGTAATTGGAAGAGCAAAAAACATTTGACCATCAACAATAACTGCGTGTAACTGCATTCAAAAATGTAAGCATGTTTACATAGGAATTTTACAATGTTATGAATAAAATTACTCTGGCCCGGACCCAGGACTATCATTTATTAAGTCACATAAAAGCAAGGAGGGGTTTCTGGATGCTTACACAGGCAGGTGGGGTGAGAAAAGAGGTGCTAAGGAGAGCACCTCATATTATGTGCTCTCCATGAACAATAAGAAGGTATTTCTATAGAAATAACTTAAGTTGTAACAATGGACTGAAGTAGCAATCACTGCGATGTTAAAATGTTGAAATTTGAGAACGGAAGAATGCTAATGACTGGAGGCGATGGACCAGAACAAGAAGATGCGTGGCAGACAATGCCCTTCACTGTGCATATTTCTGGTTGATTTCCATTTCCAGATGATTCTGTTCATACCAACAGGAACATCAGTGCCACCTATGCATGCCTCATTAACCAACCAGAGTAGCCTGTCGAAAGTTGGGGCAATAGAGATTTGTTTCTTTTGTTTCTCGTATAATTTATAAATCCTCTAAGGAGAATGTAAATAGATGTAGCTCAAGAGCTCTCTCTTTTTCTGACTATTTTGAGGACATCAAGAAGTGAGCACTCTAAGGAAGGCGTGGGTCTCACAGGGACATTACATCATGCTACTTCTGTGGGCTTTGGCCACTGCAATGAGTTTAATCCTAAATAGATTTTTATGTGCTTGAGAATGTAGCAAAAATATCTTACCTCATTCCATCAGTCTTATGTGCTTTTACATATCATCCTCTATTCCAGTCTTGTGAAGCCCTGACAGCTCCCTACAGGGGCCAGTGCTTGACAAGAGCACACACACTGCCGTTGGCTGGCCAGTCTGTGATTCCCACCCTTTGCTTAGTCAGCCTTCCAGTTCTCAAGAGTCAGCTTGGGCTGCAGGGCCCTCATCTGAAAACCTTCCCCTACATGGCCTGATACGTGCCGGGCACTTCTGTAACTGTGTATTTTTTCATGCACTGGATTATAAATTCATTGATAACAGGGATCCCAAGCAGTAGAATCTGATGGTTAAGAACGCTGCTCCTCAAGTCTAGACTTGGGTCCAGCTTTAACACCTATTAGCTATTGACTTTGGGTCAATTCCATAATGTTTTTATGCACAATTTTCTCACCTATGATAATAATGTTGCTTATCTCACTGACTTATTATGAGAAATGAGTGAATGAATGCCCAAAGCAGCTAAAATACTAAGTACTATTGAAGTATTCACTGAGGTAGTGTCTTCTTCATATTTTTAGTACCTCTCATTATTGGTGTCTGTAGAGTAACTGGCACTCTGTGTAGAACATACTAGGTACTTAGCCAAATCTCTGAGGAATGAAAAAAATGAATGAATGCAGTCATAAAGACTCAAATTAAAGCTAAACCATAAAGCTTTCAAGAATTAAAAACCAAGCAGTCTCAACAATCCTATCTGTCCCAATTATATTGTGTAAGAATAATCAGTACTCAAAATAAAAACTCTACAAAAAGTCCGTAACTCTGATCTTAGTCTGAATAATGAAAGAAAGATTAAATAATTTTTTAGTAACATTTCCAGATTGTATATTAAATTGATTCTAAATTCATCAAAACTTGCGATCCTTCAGCGGTGGAGATAGCCATTCTGAGACAGCCAGAGTATTTTAATTACCAGAATGCCCTGGGCCCAAACATTTCTGAATAAATCATCATTTCACTGTATTTTAGGGCCAAAAAATAACATTCCTTAGGCATCACTATACATATCAGATACCTTTCTGAACATATGCTCATTTATTTCCTTGTTCTCAAATTGTACAGGCCCACAAATGTTGCAATATGTATTAACTTTTAAAGAGACTAGAATACCACCAATTCTCTCTGGAAAATAAATGCTGGGGAATCCCTAAGGTCCCTGAGATGGGAGGGGGCAGTGACAGAAGTGAGCGTAGCCAACACTCCCTTACAGGGGAGTTACAATCAGGAGGGTCATTGCTAGCTCACTGTCCACTTTCCAGAACTCAGTTTAGCTCAGTCGTTTGTTATCCACCATGTGGGCGTGCATCTGTCATTCCTGGTGCTCGTCCACATGCCTGCTCTCCATTGGAGTCACACCACAGGCCCAGAAAGACATGACCCATTTTTCAGAAGTGCAAAAAGTTAGGTCAGCACCCACATCTGAGGTGCCAGATCCTCTGTATTAATTATTTATGGGCTATCTGCAAGTAGAAGTGTTCAGACAAACAAATCAATATTTCCATGACCTTGAACCAATTTGCTTCAGAAGGATTTTTTCATTCATGGCTTCGTACCTTTAATTCTCCGATGGAAGAAAGGAGTCCTGCTCCATATGCTCGCAGTTGCCCTTCTTGCTTACAAAGGCCAAACTCAATTGTGAAGAAATAGCACTGGAAAAAAAAAAATGGATACATACCCCGTGATCTAACCGTCAAATTCCCCTACAGTGTAAAACGGCACTCAAAATAAAATAAAAAGGGGCACTACGCATAATATTTCAATCCAATCAATTTAAATGCCTTTTAATTCATTATCTATATTTAAATACAGGCAGAATATTAATTGCAATCTATCCTTTTGGTTAATAATCCCTCCTTAGGTGAAAAGTATATGGAAAAGGTATTAACCACTGAGGAAGCTTTATGCTTCCTCAATTCAGAAATTACGTGAGTTGAAACATATCCCCTGCAATAATTTTAAAAATAAGAAAACTCAGATTTAGAAATGAATTCATATGTTACAATGCGAACACCATAAGAATATGCTACTATATTTACCAAGTTGTGTTTCAGAGACATAAATAAATTCATGCAAATGTGGAAATATAATTTGGAATCCAGTAATCTCAAGACACTTTTTCTATAGTTTATTTATTCAACAAACATTTGTTGTATACCTACTAGGTGCCAATACTTGTTAAAAAACAATAGTGGTAAAGAAACATGAGAGAGTCCTAAAAAGCAAGTGCATGACTACTAACTTGCCAAAAATCAAGATTTTAGTATGAGCTGTTTTAGTGAAACCTTAAATATGTATCTATGTTAAGCACACACACAGATACACTTCTATGTGTAAGTATATATGAATGTGTACATATATACATCGATGTGTAAATACATATAGTAAGAACCATTTCATCGCTTGCGTTTTACCAATATCAACTACTACAGCTTCCCAAAGGACACAAAAATCTGTGTGTTTCCATTGAGTTTAGGAAATCAATGTAGGCAAAGAGAAGTCTCTATACGGCAACCAAAAAAAAACCGTCACAATGCTCTTAAGAAAGGATAAAATCACACTGTTTTGCTCTGAGAGAGAAGTGAGAAGCTGACAATGAGCAATAAAAACTGTATGAATTAACAATAGTCCTACATTAGTGACAGCACTGAAGGTGTTGAGAAAGAGGAGCATTTAAACACCCCTGAAAAGGAGCAAAAAGTAAGTATTATTTCCAGTCTTTGGCAGTATGCTCTATTTTTATTTGGAGGTCATGTCCCTTGGACCTAAGTACTTATCTTTCCAGATCATGGAGCTGAAACTCTAGAAACACTTCTTTTCCTGATTTGCCTTCTAAAAAGGCTAAAATCCCTGCCCACCCCACCCCCAATTCCACAGTGCCCACAGGCACACAGACTTACTCTGTTCTGACCTGACTTTTCCATGATGCCACTTTCTGGACATGGTCCTTAGTTTCTTTCTGTACAATATTATCTCTGCATGTTCATCTAGAGCTGGGGTTCCCAACCACAGCATGATTGACACTGTGGAGGCAACAGCCCTTGTTGGGGTAGGGAGCTGTCCTACACACTGTGGGGTGTTAGCAGCATCCCAGTAGGCACCAGTAGGTGCCTGTCACATTCCCACACCCAACTGTAATAGCCAAAAACGTCTCCAGCCACTGAAAATGTTTCCAGAGCAGAGGGAACAGGGTCCCTCTGAGAACTATAGAGATGGAATTTAACTGAAACATAACAAGAACTCAATAAATATTTGGTGGCCAAAAAGACAAATCGTGAAGAATGATCTCTAAGACTGGTCTGTGGTATGGCAGCGTTACCTGGGAGAAAGAAATGCATGAGGAAGCTTAATTTCTGGGCTCAGTTTTGCTTCTAATTAGTTGTGTGATATGCACCCATTTATTCATTCACTTATTCTACAAACACTAAGCACCCTATACATGTCACCCTGTGCTCTAACCGTTAAGAATATACAAGGAACAAGACAACAGTTCCTGGACTCCATGAAGCACATATACTACTGAAATGAGACAGGCAATAATAGTTTTTGGGTATCGGGTATCCAAACATCAGCATAATATCACTAGAAGATGCTATATAAATCATCAAACTATACTGCAGTTATTAAGCAGAAGTCATGACTGTTTTAGATGGAAGATCAGGAAAGGCTTCTTCAGGGGTATTTAAACTGCAGCCTGTTTGAAAAATCAACATTTCATTAAGAAATAAAAAGGCCAATTCTGCAAAGATCTAGAGTGAAGAGTATTCTCAACACAGGAAAGAGCAAGAGCAAAAGCCATAAGCATGAATGGATTTGCATTACCAGGAGCCACTGGAGGCTACTGGGAGGTTTTAAACAGGAGAAAGACGTATTCTGATTTGTTTGATTATTTTTCTGAAGGTATTTTGCTTGTTTTTTATAACTCAAACTTTAAATTCTTTTAAGTTTTGAATGAAGTAGGGTTGTTTCACATCCTTGTTAACTTGGGGGGGGGGTCAATATAAGATTTCTCCCCTCACGTGTGATCTCCCCTCACACTCTCCCACCACCAAAGCCCCCATATTGTCCACCACAGTCCTTTGCAGAGGAACATTTTCTGCTTTCGTTTCAAAAGGCCACACTAGTGCTGGCTGGAGAATCAATTGAAGTGAAATGGAGCAAAAGTGGGCGCAGGGAGACTCATGAGGAGGCAGTTGCAGCCAAAGGATGAGTGGTGAGTGACTCTGAACACGTCTTGGGCCCGTGGGGGAAGGGGGTTGGGGGAATCATTATCAAGGGCACCATATGAAAAGAGCCCCCCAAAAGAGCTTTGTGTTGAAATACTAAAATACAGCCCTCAAATTTATCTTCCAAAAAAAGTTTTCACAATCCTGGCCACAATGAACAGAAGTGATCCTCCAGTCAGAGCAAGAGGCCCAGGCGTTCAACCTCCTGTTTTACGAAAAGGAAAATTTCAGTTCAAGGAAATGAAGTGATTTACCCAGGACCAGTTGAAATAGCGACATTTAAGAGATCTAGAGCTCAGTATTTTAAAGAGTGCCAACATCTGTCACAATTTAAACTTTCTAGGTAAAAAAGCAATAGATGCATGATTTTCCCTTACAACCAAAAAAAGGGGAAATAAAATTCTAAAAAAGAGCAAAACTAGGATCACATGGTATCTTAGTGTGTCTGGCTGATTTCCCAAATTTATAGTGAATGTATAGTATAGAATGTGATATTCTTGGAGCCTTACTTGAATACAGAAGAGGTTGGGTTTGGGAGAATGTGTTGTCACTTTCAAAAGTCTTCAAAATACAAATACAAAGGCAGTTACAGCCAGGTCAAACTATTAAGTGCCTTGTTCTTTTCCCTAGGCTACTTCTGTACGTACATAAATCATGGTCATGGTTATAATCCAAATCAAAACAGGCTGAAAGTGTCCCTAAGAAATTCTGGGGTGCTGCACACGTGGTGTTCACACAGATTTGGCAACCCCTTCTGTTCTGTTTAAAGGCTCACATCAGTGCCTAGAGATCTGAGGCTACATCTACCAGTATACCTCTGGTGCCACGTGATTCCAGATTCGGGGAAAACTCAGAGCAAAAAGCCACTGTGCACCTTTCTTCCCATCCCACGGAGTGTTCTCTGGCCCAGGCCTCACCTGGGAGTCCTTCCAGAAACACTGGCCTTCCACAGCTGCATCTGTTCACCCCCTCTCTCCCTTTTCTCTTTGGTTTCCTGCAGTCCTTGACCAAGGAAAGCGCCTGGATGCTGCTTGGACAGTCCACTCCACTAAAGAATTAGACCTTTTGCTGAATGGGCTGTAACAGAATGAAAACCAGACCTACATGATCGCCCTGCATACGACTCACCGGCTGTCCATGTGCAGTGCCCAGGGTGGCTAACACATCAAGACACAGCGAAGTGTACCCGAGTCTTGGGAACTAGCAAAGTATGAATTACAGATATGCTCAAAATAATTTTGCTCTGTTGTCAGGACTGGTGAAGACCTCAAAATGCAGAGCACTCTGTGGCATATAAGAAGGGGACTCACAAATGCATTATTGCTTCTGTCTGGTTTGAAATGCAAAGTCTGCTTAAAGATGGGCTCCGTGACCCCCTCGAAGACCTTTCAGAATCCAATAACTAATTGCTTCTTGAAATTTTAAGAAAATAGCACTTACTTTTCCCAGCGCACTCTCCAGATGTGGGTCTATAATATATTCCCTAGAGATTTCACAAATAAAGATCTATCTATTAACAAAATTAAAAACAAACAAAAAGAACCCAAAAAAAAAGCCACCTGAGCTTTGGAAGAACATGGATAAAGAGAACAACAGAGTCTTGGCCACTAATGTTTTTAAACAGAAACAAATAATAATAAGAGGGTTAACCCTTCCCAAATTGAAGGGTACCTTTCATCAAAGCTGATGTTCATGAATTCCAAATTTTACACACCACTAATTAAAGGTAATTATTTATAAATATTTTATTTGAATATAATTACATATAATCATTAACTGAAAACCAAAACAGCAATGATAGATGGATCTCTCCAACAGAAGAAAAGCAGAGTCATTTACATATATACAGTCATTAAACAGAAGAAAGTCTGAGTGACAACCTGAAATCTAAACGCGGCTGCGAGCAGAGCTAAGGGCTGTGCTCCTGTGCTTAGGAAAGGCGATAGGGTGCCCAATGCTGCCATCTTCAGGTCACTCCTGGAAGGACACCCACTGGCAACACTGCAGTCTAGCCAAATGGCTATAATGAAAAATGAAGAGAACAGAGACTACACGCCCTGAAAACACACCAAAATATATACTGGTCCCACATGGTGATTTTGTAAAAGCATATGCTGTTAACATCCTACCTGCATTTGATTTCAGGTGCTTGGCACATAGTCCAACTAACAAGATGTAGTTTTCCAAGAATTCCTGATGGAAAAGAAATTTACTGTTCTCATTGCCCTCTTGGTCTTTTTGCCTCCCACTTCCCTTGCTCCCTGTATCCCTTGAAATAATTATAGAAACTCTTTCTAGGAGCCATTCTATGTCCTTTAATTGTATTAAAATGGTACTTATCCATGCCCAACAAGAAGCCCACACTGGTCAAGAAAGCAGCTCACACATCGTTTATTAAATGTCTGAGTGAATAAGTGAACAAGTGA